TTTTAGATGACCAGACAGCATACCGTTGTACTCGCACGCGCTGTGTCGTACGCTTCGGGTCGGATAGCTGTAATTCGCTGTATTCCCTCTCCTTCCTTCCTCATACATACACAAAAATACACATACATACCCAGCATACATACATGAAACCCCTCGAACCGTCGTTTTTAAAGTTTGATCGGATCCGGAATGGGGCTAGATATTTGCCCACTCGGATATCTCGCACAGCTTCGCTGTTCGGCCGAATATATCGCCCATGGATTATTGGAAGTCTGCGACGAATGATTGGTTACACAAAATTTGATTCACCTCACCGCCTTTTTTCCATCCCTCGCTCAATACCCGCTGTACGTCGTGAAAAGGAGTACATACGAAACTTTCGGAAACATTACATTGTATAGTCCAATGATATATTGGCATTTAACGTACATATGTATTCCATAACAATTCTTCCGAATTGATATAAAATATATATCACTTATGTACATAATATACATAGAGAAACAGGAGATTTTTATTTCCTCAATATTAGTATGTTCCTATATGTAAAGCCATTGTTTACGTTAAATCAATGAAAATTTCACGAGACATGCATACATATGTATATCGATATGCAACCCGTCATCATTGCGCGCAAGGACGCTGTGCGAATACGAGAACTGTAATTTGGTAACCATCATCTCACATACCTGTGCCGGCTCATCTTTATCATTAGTCAAGACTCGCTTAACATGCAGGACGATCGTGACGAGAGACATTATCGTGCGAGAATAATCAGGTAACATCGGGATGGAAAGCGGAAATGGTATAAACTCAGGGAAACTGAAGATGCCTAAGGGGAGAGAACGACGGAAGGAGGAGGGGAGAGAGGATTGGAGATAATAGTTCAACGCAGCTGTATCAGGACAAACTGTTACGAGCAGGTGGACATATATGCAGCTAAGCCACATCGCGAACGAAAAGAGGAGGAAAATGAAGTTGTTGCCTCCTACACGGGAATTCGCTTTGAAATTTCCACTGTCCGGAACTATGCATTTGGAATTTCCAATACGTAAAGAAAATGTTCGATGGAAAATAATTCCCACGTAAGATTTTACCACGTTGCAAAATTATGTTACGAAAATAAGCAAGGAGCGCGAAAACGTGCATAACGCATTTGTCAACGCATTATTCAACCATTTTCATTAATTATGTCATTATTGCAAATTGCCTAATTGCGGTAATCTCGCCGAAGCTGCTACCCTTTTTACTTAATAGCTTCGCTTATCAAAGATTAAAACGGAAGCACTTGAGCAATTATCTGAAAAGATAGTTGGAAATGCATTTTTAAATTCAAGATTACCGACGACTTTAAATTTAATTTGTTAATTTCTTATTGCAGATTCTGCTTGTGTGAGGTCAAATGGATACGTATTTCGAGGAGACCCCGTGATCCCGATTTTAATCGCGTTCGAAACACGATCATCGAAATCACGGTTCTGTCCTTTGCAGCAGAAGAAAAAAACCGAGGTAGCGGAGAAATTCCTAGAATATATTTCAATCTAGAACGCGCCGGCCAGCCGGAGATTTAATTAAAGATGCATTGCGCTTCGTTTCTAAAGTTGAATGAAGCTCAGCGGTGCGAACTTGGGACCCGCCCTTGATTACATCCTATCGCGCTAGGGTATCTACATTTTATTTTCCTCACGGAGTGTGTATATCGCACGGCTGCGATGTCAATTAAACTTTTTCCACCTTTATGTTTGCCCTTCGAATATCGCCTTTATGTTTGCCCTTCGAATACGGCGGATGAATCCGTACGCGAGGCACGAACTTTATTTTTATCTCGCGAGATTACGCTGTCTGGTTTTCGCCGCGAATTAATTGCGATCGACTGACCAGAAGTTATTTCTGGGATTAGATATAGCAATGAACTCTTTCAAATGCGCGTGCCCTTGCACCTTTGCACGTGTTGAGGAAATTTCGCTGCACTTCCGTCCTCCTCTACCGTTGCCCGTTCAATTGCACCACGTGTTTTCGCGTCCACTTAGATTAATTAAACGCCCGATATCAATTAAATGCCGCTCGAATAAATATGCAGCGGTTGGAAATTGTCGCGCGATCGTATTGTGTTCGCGTAGCGTTTTTCACGCGAATGCACTTACGATTAATCCTAAAGGGCACACGCAATCGCGCCGGACGCATTGCCAGTTATGCATAATAATCGAACGATTTGCATGAATTTCTTTAACATTTCTGTGCAACGTTACGCCAGGCTTTTAATGTCGAAAAATACCAGCAACTCCGCATCTCATTGACACAAAAGATAATGTAATCAATGTTACACATATACACGGAGTGTGGGGAAAAAAGATGTAATGCTTCCTCATCATTAACATGTAAATGTTATACAAACAGTGTATCATATTCGAGTTTATTTTATTCGGCCGTTTTCATTTTCCCGCCATAAGAGCAATGTATATGCCGTATGCGAGCATCAACCTCGGGTGGGTCATGAACGTGCTGGCGCCGAGAGGCAAAGTTCGAGCATGTCGGTCGTTAGAATTGTTTCACGACTTTCTTTACGATCGTACGCGGGGCCATTCTAATTTTTCACTGGCATACACGTCGCGCAAACGTCTTCATCTGAATGTTTCGTATATGTATGTGCATCCGTGCGCACGAGGAGTATCCGGAAATGAGAGAATTTTCGACTCAATCCTTTCGTTGTACTTTTTATTTGAACAACTGTACTATCATCGACAAAGACAACAAGCAGGTAAGTGTAAGTACGCGGGAATAATAATCTTCAGAGTAAAGAGAGTATCGATTCAAAATAATATTAATATTGGATCGTAAAAGTAAGAGAAGAGATTTGAAAAATACAATAAAATCAATTAAAGTTAACTGTTTATGATGTGTACACGCGGTGCACGCTAATTTGTTTTTATTTCTATTACTTATTTAGTCTATTATTTAGTAAATTATTTAATGGAAGTAAATTATTAATGAAAGTACATTAACCTTTTAAAGTAAAACTTACGTAAATAAATAATCTTGAATTAAATTAAAAAGTAAACGACAGAGAGAAAAGTCTTCAACCTCCTCTAATCGACCACAAAGGTAATTTTTATTTCTTCGGAGTACGTTTCCCGCGAGCGATACACTCGAATGAAAAACACGACTCAACGACGCGCAAATAATATTACATCGTACACATCTGGTACGCCCTGTGTATTCAATAAAACACAAGTTGCGCCGATACCTAGATTTTGAAATGATAACATCGAAAACGTTATCGATTATGAGAATTGCTCACCCTCGTAACACATTCTAACACTATCAAAGCACAGCCGCATTCCGCCGCGAGTTTCATAAATTCGATCGGAGGCTTCCCGTCATGTTCGTTCGATCGCTATATTAAAGCCAAAGGCATGCATCGTGCACCTTCAATCTTTATACACATGATCCATACAACACGTTATTAATCGAAAATAAATATTCAATGTAAATAAACTAAACTACATTTTTGAGAGTATCCCAATTATTATTTGGGAATGCCTCAATTAAATATTAGACATCTTATTATCTAATTTCTAATTTTTCAAGCTACGCTCAACAAACTTATAAATTTACACAGCAATGTAATTTGCTATTATATTTAGAATAGAGAGAACAGATCAGATATTTTATAACAACAATAGCAAAGCATAAGACTTCATTAAAATTATGTAACTTACATCAATATTATGTTGTGTTAGATATTCATTAAAAAATATTTATATCTACATCTATTTTAAATCAATTAAATATATATTTATACTGTATTACATATAACATATAATCATTCGCAATCGAGAATATGTATAATTCGCATCCTCTCTCTATTAAAATTATCACAAGGATGTCTCCATAAATTGCATTGCTGTCTCACGATCTCAGAAAAGCGTGAGAAACGTCGTTTTAATCGTTGGCATGCATGCGAGCGATCGCGTGAAAACACTCGAAGTAAAAATCCACCCTCAGACGACAAGCTCGGAAAGTCAGGGACTCGGAAAAAGAAAAATAGAGAGGAAGAAATCGGCCGCGAAGCATCCTTTACAAATGTGTGTGTGTGTGTGTGTGTGCTCGCGCGCGCGCGCGCGCCTCTCCTCGATATTTTTTCTACGCGGATTTGCGTGACGCGGATTTGTGTGACGCGGCCCTCTCGAACGCTATCTGTCCATCTCGTTCGAGGATCACGTGGATCTCCATCTCCGCGAGTTCGAGGGTGTCCCTTCGAAAAGAGGACGGTGGAAAATCGCGAGGAGAATGTTAACCTATTTTCCACTCGTGGGCGACTCATGGGCGTACCACTTTTAACACCGGGACGATAATAACGCGTCGTGTCGCGACCCACATAAACAGGTGCGTCTCGCACACTCGCGACGTGAGAGCACGTCAGTCACGAGGGTTAATATACATAGGCGCAGATTGTGCTTTCAGAGCGCGACAAGCCGACTTTCCCCTTTCATCGAGAGATTCACTCGATCAATCGGAAGTAACCCTTTATTACGCGTCTCTAGATCGACGAGCAAGAATCGTGCGTCAGCACTTCCGAAATTAAAACATCATTACGCGATCGCGAGCTAATTTGACAACCCTATCCTGCGCCCCCCGCCGGAAAGATTCTTTGAATGAAAAATGTGTTTATCCTCTTAGCGAAAATAACACTCCGAAAAAAGCCGGAGTAGAATTGCAAATTATCACGTTTTCGAAAGCCAAGGAAATCTCGCGGGAGGCACTCGGCGACTAACTTCAAGTCGGAGCAGTCCCGATATGCAAGATAACATGTGACGTCAATGGAACGCGCTTTGCTGCGGTCAATAAATTTTACAACCGTGAAAGAAAACTCGTTAAGAAAGGACTCGGAAGGACGTCCCTTTAAATCATCTCCGACGACAGCTGTACCTGGGTACCTGCCCTCGAGTGTGTTTCACGCGACGGCAGGACAAATGTATATATACGTGTTGTCGACTCACCGGCGTCGCTGCAGAAAAATACGCCGCCGCGAGGACGTATCAATCAAATTACGCCGCGGTCCTATCTCTCGCCGCCGCTTTCATGGTCGATCACACACTGGGTACCACTGGACACTCGCGGAAACGCGACACAGAACGCGACGGAGCACTGACCGCGCGAGACGGACCCGGATATGAACGCCGAGCGGCGTTTCAAAGCGCGAACGCGACCGGCGGCGTTTGACAGTTCACAGTTCGCGTCGTTCAGATTGCGCGAGAAACGCCAACGCGGCCAACGTCACGACGCTCGCACGACGAGCGACCGGCTCCGACTGTCGCGAGTGTCGCGGCGCGGCGGGCCACCCGCTGTTATCAATGCCTACCGACCGACCGACGGCGACGGGGGCGAGCCTCGGCCCTCTCCGGCTTTCCGTTCTCCGTTCGCCTTCGTATAGTCCGTATACGCCGTATGTATGTACGAGATACCTGCTACCACCACGTCCACCACGCACCACCGATGTATCGCCGCCGCGCTCGTTGGCCCTTCGACCGACCTCGCGCAGTCGCATAACCGTCGCGCGCCGAGAGTCCCCGAGCGTCCCCGAACGCGGCCGAGTTCGCACGAAGCGAGCCGGGCGCGCGCAAACAAACTCAACGTCTCGACGAATTTCTCCTCCCGATAAACGGAAAGCAGCCTATCGAAATGTTCTATCGATCCTCTTGATAAGACTATAAGAGGAAATTTCGGAGAGGGAATTGACTCCATCGAATGCGAGCCTGTCAGATGGAGTGTCGTCTGTGTCACTTTTTGAAATCAAAAACCGATATTATTCGCCCCGTATATACGATGCGAGATACGATGTCATCTAACGTGCAAAATTTGCAACGGACTTTATTATAAATATGATTTCTATGTGGAAATTTTGTTCGATTTCTAATTCTGCGTTGATTTGATGGAAATTTGATTTATGATAATTTTAAGCGCTAATTTTATAATATCAAGTCTTTAGCTAATTAATCATTTATATGATAGTTAAATGGAGTTTGCAGATTATACACGATTTCAACCGATAAAATAATAAAAATAGAAATGTTAAACTCAAACTGTGCTCTTTTAAAAATTTCTGATGTTTAGTAATACCCCGAAAATCTACGTCTTTTTCAACTGCTTTTGTAATATGCACAATTAATTCCTTTAACAGTATTTAGGGCCGGTTGTTCCAACTTGTTGGTCAGCTAACTAATAGTTAAATCATATGTCTATCTTTGTCTAATGTAATGAATAAACAAAGACATATATATGATTTAACTATTAGGTAGTTTACCAACAGGTTGGAACAACCGGCCCTTAATTATATAAATTTCAAACTCAATTTTTTATATCATTCTTTTCAAACTTTTCAAAACTTATAATTTCTTTTAAGTAAGAAATGAACGTTTAAGGGAAAGAATTATTATTTTATAAGTTCTGGAGCAGAGAAAAATTTATACACTAAGAAAAAACTTTTGTAATCCGAAAAAATATTTAGTCCGATACGTTCAACTAAATTTTAATTAGTTTAACTAAACATTAGTTGAATTAATTAATTATTAATTAAAAAATTTTGATGGTTGACAAGAATGCACTACATAGAGAAAAAAAAAGCTGTTGCTTCAATTAAAGTGCTATCACGGGGTGCCAAAAACATAAGTAGTTTATTCAGTTGTATTTATTAGATCCAATACCTGGATTATTAAACCAATAATTTAATCATTGATTTAATAATCCAGATATTGGGTCTAATAATAATACAATTGAATAAACTACTTATGTTTTTGGCACCCCGTGATAGCACTTTAACTGAAGCAACAGCTTTTTTTCTCTGTGCACATCTTTTTTAGTGCATCTTAATAATTGTTGAAACAATGTTTAGTTAACTAACTGATATGTTTAGTTGCACGTATCGGAAATATTTTTTTAGATTCACACATTTTTTTCTCAGTATAAATTTCTTGCCAAAAATACATATAATTTATTGTCAATTTTCGTAGTAAAAAATATGCTATATGTTGTTATACTCCCATTTTACAGTAAAATATTGAAGAGTATTTTTATACTACTATAATTTCTCCGTATGTAAAAAGAACAATTTCTTAGGACTAATTTATTTTCACGCATTATGAAAAATATGCGTTTCGCAAGATTCGATAAAAGAGAATTCTTTATATAAAGAACAATTCCTTTTCCATATCCTTTCAGTTTTACAAACTTCTTTATTATTCTTAAAAGATCGAGAAATGTTACCTGAAATACTTTTACCTGTGAGACCATGTAGCTGGAAGAATATTTTTGGTCATCTTATCCTTTTTTTATGGTGTTACTTTGCTTTTCAAACACCAAATCGCTTTACGAAGATCAGAACACAAAAGAGGGGTTGCTTTGCAGATTTGTCCATGTAGTTTTGTAAGAAAATTCTTGAACCTCTTTCGTATTTGTGAGAATCTTGTACAAAAGAAGGAATAACGGAAAGCAGTGTTTACTTTAAAAGCTCACGTTCATTTTTCTGTCTTCTGAAAAAAGAAAGAATAAATCTTGAAAAATAGCAAATCAAAAATTTTGAGATAAATGGAAAGCATTTTCTAGTTTGACGCTTATATTGTTGTTTTATTCAGAATTGTGCTTAGGATCTATCACACTATCGAATCGACACATCAAAAATATTCACGTCGAGTGTCTGGACGCTTAATCGCAATAGAAAAAAATTAGGTCATTAGATGCGGACGATTTCTGCGGATTTAAATTCTAATCCGACCCGAACAACTTGGAGGAGGCTGGTTAATTTCGCTGGACGGCAGCAAACTCTAATACCAACGCCCGGTGAGGAAGCCCCCGAAGGAATTTGTAAATTCGACTCTCGGATGGAACTTTTAATCGTCCATCAGGGAAGAAGCGCGGAGTACGGAAACTTTTCGCATAATAATTCTTTCGTGCAAACCGACGGCGGAATTCTCCACCGTTATACTCGCTCCAAGGTAATGGTCGAGAATGTTTTCCACGTGTGCATCCGAATGCATTACCTTATGGCGCGGAGGTAAGAATGCATATTTTTCGTTCGTGCAGACCCACTAACGTTCCCAAATGGACCGAGATGACCGGTCGCTTCCATCATTTATCTTGTATTGATTATTCCGAAAAACAACTTTCTAACTATTTGTGACATGTTAAATGTTGGAAACCGTTAAAGATAGCTTTTACTGATAATGACTATAGTGTCTGATGATTTTTGCTACTCACTTAGCGGAAATTAATAAAAAGCGATTGGTTGATGGATATCTAGTATTAAGATTAGTTCTCTTTTATACAGTCATCAAATCATATCTGTTTAATTGTTATTATATATATAAATAAAAGTATATAGATAAGAGACGAACGATTCTCCCTCAATGATAGTCAACAATAAATCCCGGCCGCAAGAACAGATTGTACTATTATATACAAGCAATGAGAGCCAGCGTACAATAATGGATCAAGCGAGTAACTAAACGTTTATGCGACGTTTCCACGAATGTGTGCAAAGTACTGCGTTTGCATATACGTTTGTAGATGTAGCAAGCACACCTGGGAAATCAGCCGTTTCTCGTTGCGCCCTTGATAAATTCCACTGCGTGGAAAAGCGGGTTCGTGGATAATTGCGGTTCTTCTTGCTACATAATGAAAAATCTGAATTACTCCACTGTAAGTTACTCCTCCCTACTAAGCTACCGGAATCCTTACCTGGAAGCATAACAAGTTCAAATTTATTAAAAAATGTAATATTATTCATGTACTAATTTGTTATTCCATTCTTAATCTTGTAATTCAAACATTTATTTTAAATCTTTAATTATACTAACCATCGATAATCTGAGTTATTATTCTATCTGTCATTGTCTCTATTGTGCCTTTTCTATTTAATTTGTTATAGATGCCTGATTACCTGTACTCATATCTTGATAAATCCTATAGATTGCGCTGTGAAAATATCTCGATTCTGTAAAGATAAAAAAATTGTCCGTTTATAAATCATAATTACTATGATGTACGTATAAGTTCTAATGAGGATACAATTTAACGTTAATTTTCTGAAAAGTAGAGGTTATAAAAAATAAAGAAGCACACGTACAAATTACGTGAACGAGCGAATTACGTGCTTGCTCTTTAATGAAAAACGAAATTGTATTCGCACATTTGAGTTTGTTCGCAATTTCGACGTTCATACACATTTCGAAGCAAGCTCGCTCCCTCGTTCGCGATCGCGATTGGCTCGCGAGTCGAGCCCCCGAATCCGGCCAATCACGTTCCGCCGCTCCGAGCCGCCGACTCGGCGGTGCGACGCAGGCAGCGGCATACCAGACGCCATACTAGATAGCGACTAGGCGCGACTGTTGAACGTTAAAACAACGTACCTTCGAAGTCGTTGTTCTTGTCGGTGAGCAGCCTTGTCGCTTGTTTTCTTCGATGTTCGGAGTACCGTTACCTGCGGGAATCATTCGATCATTCTCCCGGTAAATTTCGGACAGTTGTGAAGTGTTTCGTGCTCCGTGCGCTGTGCTCCGTGCTCCGTGCTGTGGGTGCTGTGTTTTTCGGAACGCATTTTTTCCTGCGATTGGCACTCCTGCTCCTCGTTTTGCGGAAATAATTGCGACTACGCGCTCAAGAATTCGTAATGTATCAAAGTAATCAAAGTGTCTGTCGGAATGAATGTGTCGTGTGATGTGAATCGCTCGAGGCGGAGACGTCGAGGCGAAGGCAGGGAAGGTACGGCAATTGTGATCACGTGATTTGTGAGTGATTTGCAGTTTCGTTGTGCATTCGCGGACGATAGTCGTTCGTCTTGAAGTCTCGCCATATATCTAGATTCTCGAATATAATGTCGTGCTTTGAACGCTGTGCCGGAATTGCGAGCTATCTCCGATTCTTTTCGAAGGGGGAAAAGAGTGACAACGTGAAATCGTATCTCGAGTGATTCGAGTAATAGCACGCGCCGCGATACAACACCAGTTCGTTAATATTTCTTATATTTCCGTGTATTTCGTGCGGCGTGCCGCGTAAGTTAACGATCCGCGACCGCGACTTCTCGTTGTGCAAAGTATTAAATAGTTCAGTTTTACATCCGCGAGATTTATCGTGCGCGATCCCGTACTGTGCGTGCGATATTTAATTTTAATTGTATTTTTCATTAACTGCGGTGTCTTTACTATAAGTCGTCCACTTGATTCGCGTGGTGTCGCGCCAAGTTATCGACAGTCATCTTCCAACATTTCGTCATCGTTAACGTAACGCGGTGATGAACGTGGAACGAATCGGGGGGAGAATATCTTATATTTATATAATTTAATTTTATGTGATATCTGCTTTTATATGACTCGTCGCGTTTGTTTCGGGAGTGCCGTACAAGTATTCGAACTAAGAGACTTTTTCAAAGTCTATTTGAAGAATATTGACGGAATATTCTTCTCATGGGGCTTTATAAACGGGAGTGCCGTACAGTATCGCGCGAGAAAGACTTTTACTGATAATTATTATAGTCCGCGCGCGATTGTAATTTATTATCCGCGAGTGTTTCTCGCGAGTGTCCTGTGCGGTGAGAGGAGGAGAAGGAGGAGAAGGAGGAGGAGAGACCTGACGTCCTGAGAGGAGGAGGAGGTCCGAGAGAGACATCGGGTACCGGCGGAGCAACCTTGGGGTAAGTATCATATCTCTTATCTGTATAAAATTAATAATTTGTTTTTATTTATTCGAATTGTTTTATCTCGATAAATTAAAAGTAATTAGAGAAAGATAAATTATTTAAAATTTTACTCTAGTACAGATTTTTTTCGGTGAATAGACAATTGTATTTGCTAAATATTGTATTGAAAGGCGAATTAGAGGCGCGTAAGAATTAACTTTTAAAATGTTGATTATTTTGAGCGTTTTTTAAATTTAAATCTTATGTTTGTATGTTACAGTATCACCGTAGCTACGTGGCCGAATAACTCCGCCCGTTGCGCATCGGATCGGTGAGTCAATAAAAAATTTTTTTATTGAGGAAACAAATCTACGAATATAATCAAATAAAAATATATCTTGGTATACATGTCGAATTACAATAATTCATAGTATGAAAATATTACATCTCGTAGATCTGTTGCCTTAAAATGGATGGGTTAAAACTGATTATGGTATATATTTAATCTTGGTAGCACTTATCTATCAATATATTTTGCGATTGTGCTTGAGGAAATGCTCGCACACTTCGCATGCACGGAGCTCGCAAAGAGCTCATCATCGTTTATCGAGTTATGTTGACGAACTGCCGCGTTCTATTATAAAAAACTTTTGAATATATATACAATTTTTAAATACATAAAAAATTAAAATTTTCAAGTTTTGTTACATAGGTCAATTCTCTCTATTTCATACAGTTAAAATAATAAATATTTTGAAAACACAAGAAAGAGAAATAAGAAATAAAATAATACTTAGATAAATTAAAGTCATGATTTTTTTAGTATATTGTAGTCAATAAATTTTTATTTAGATTTTTTAAAGAATTATTTTTTTAAACAAAAGAGATATCGTGTTAGATGTAAAAAAAATCTGTAGATAGGAAAAAATTGTGAATTAGTTAGGATGTATTATTTATACCTATTTATTTCTTTCCGCATGTTTATCCAAGATTAAATATGATATGAATCGATGCAAGGAAGCAATATACATAGATATATTTAGAATATTAGTATGCATAAAGAATAGCGTGCAAGATGCATAAATTATACATAAATAACAAGGGAAAAAATATTTTGATCTTATTATGCAATTTGTTTTATAGAAATCGTGATAATTGTTATTAATTACTAAAATTTATTTTAACAAAGCATCGATTTTACCCTAATTTTTTGTAACTTATCCATCTATTTTTAATCGAGAAATTGACTTTATGCCAGTCAAGTAATATATGACGTGAGATTCTAAATATTTGGCGATGAAACTTTCAAAATTATTTTAGAATTGGTCGTATAGTTAAGTATAATTATATGTTCAATTTTACAGTAATATGTATGAATATATTATACGAAAAATAATTTTAGTAAAAAACAAAAATTATAATGAGATATATTTATATGTAAGTTTATAAAGATTTGCAATTATACTGTATTATTCAAATATAACAACGCGATTAATGATTAATCATAATATCCAATTATATCAATTGTGTGCGGGAATTTTCTTTTTTTTCGGATCTCACGTCATTTATTTTGTATATCTTATACTTGATACATTTTCAAGATGCGTGCCACATGAATAACATGCACAATCACGCATCTTCATATTTTCGCGGTCGGTTTTCGCGGTCGGTTTTTATACATCGAGGAATTTCCCGTTATTAATCTTTTAATAATTTCGTCCGCATTATAAATTTCAATTTTTCGCGGGATATAATTGAAATATTCATACAACGCGAAGTAAAATTTTATCTCTGTACTTGATTACAATTCCAAATTAAAAGAACGGATCACAAAGAAACGGTTATTCAACATTCTCAGGTAAATAACGGAATTAGTGATAGAAACATTTTTCAATGTGCAGTGTTGTTGCAGTTAGGTTTTATAAAATTAATATATATACATATTTATTTAAATTAACTTCTTGTTGTACATTTTTTTATACAATCGATGCTCGCGCGTAATTCGTATCGAACGTAATTATCTTTCGGCGACGATAATAATCCGAAAATGGAAGGAACTTTTCTCCTTCTCTTTGATCTGGTCGAAGTGCGACCAGATTGTAAGTATATGGCCAGGAGTGACAAAGGTAAGTCCGATCTGGCCTGAAGAAAGAAGATTGTATACGACAAAGGTATATAAGTGGTCAACATTGACCACTGTGATGGTATAGATATAAGGTAACATATAAAATGGTTTTATATGTCTATTTATTTGTCTCAAAGGGCTACTAAGCTCTCTCTATATTTTCTCGCATACGTGCAAAATTCGAAAAAACATAATTAAATTCCAATCGCGCGCGTATTAAAACCTCCAATTCCACATTTCCCACATCTCAAGTGATCGGATTTACTTGAGGTATCCTGTTCAGGTATCCCCCTGGATCAACCAGCAAATCAGACATATAAATCGTGTCGTGGACTTAATTAAAGCTTTGTATATTAGATTGTAACATAGGTAAGTAGGAAAATGGATAGGTAGGACTATATACATTGGAATACGGGTAGGTAGGGATAGGGATTCGGGTAGGCAGGGACAAGGACAGGGGGGATACAATTCGATAGAAAAAATTGTAGACAAAATAAAAGTAATGTAATAATTAATATAATAATAATAATATAATAATAATAAATATAATATAATAATAATATAATCATAATAAATAATATAATATAATATAATAATAATAATAAATATAATAATAATAAATATAATATAATAATAATAAATATAATTATTTATTATTATGTTTTTTAATAACAATTTAAATGTATATATTAAATAATACTAATTTTTGTATTAAATAATTTTTATTTAATATATTAAAAATTAGTATTTTATATTAAATATCAATTTAAATTTTAAATAATATCAATTTTGACAGATGATTGTATTCCATCCCATTTTATTGTAAATATATGATGTAATTATTATGTATATATTATATACATATATGTATTATGTATATATTGTATATATTATGTAATTAAATCGTATATATTGTATATATCAAATCAATTGATATCAAAAATATGAAAGTCATATAATATTAATTGTAATCGGATGCATATAATAAAACGGAAATTATGTATATGTATATTGTATAAAGTAAATTGTAAAAAAAAATAAAAATAATAATAAAAATGTATTGTAAATAAAAGAGGACCGCCGATCGGAAATAGCGGGGGTGGTGTAGGGCCTCTATGCGTTGACCTGTTTCTATTGGATGAAATTACATATCAAAAGATATTTAAATTAACATTTTTAAATTAAAAATGCTGCGTCGTTTGTGCTCGCAGATTTTCTTTGCATCCGCAATGAACATTTTCTCTCGAAACTTTGCATTTTAAGCAACCTGTGTAAAGAGATCTTATCGAACAATTCCCGAATAATAATCAGCGTTAATTACACTCACGCATATGTGCCCTTTATCTGCGTAAATAGTGCTTATGAATTCGTCACTCCGCACATTTTTTGGAGTAGCTATGATTTATCTTCTTGTTTTCAAATTGAATTAGCAGATGTCTAGTAAAACTTTACAAAGCTTAAAAAACGAAACAAAATTAATTACGTTTTATATATCATAAAGTATATTTTATTTAACAAAGTTGTGTTTCAGGTAATCGTTTACTAAGGGAGAAATACAATTCTGATGATATTAACCTTGATATGTATTATAGTGAGTCGATCGATAATTTTTCCTTACAACTTAATTTTATTTGAAAGACACATTGCTTTAGCATTATTTATCCAATATATTCCACCTCCACGAGAATAGCGACATCCAAAGGACCGCCTGAATTAACTGGAAAACCGTTGACAATATGCCTTTAGATCAACAACAAATCATGCCGCTCTCTTCAGTTCGTTGTTTTTTTCCTCGGCCGCATGTGATCGAGTGTATTAGTGCATATCAAAGAGACCGACACATTAAAGCGCTACCGCACCTATAGAATCGCAGACGTCGCGTCGCGGCGTCGCGACCAAAACGGGGAAATTTCACTTTCTGTTTACTCTAGTTTCATGTTTAGAAGCTTAGTCTCTGCGCTCCTGTCGAAGTGGTGACATCGCTGTTCGTCACACTCGTAATTCGCTCGTGATCCTAGAAAAATTGCGAAGTGAATAGTGTCAGAATAAATTCAGGAAGGAACAAATGCGCGCGTTCGAAAAGTCTAACCTTACGGTACAAAGTAAGTACTCATAATGTCATCGAACAAATTGATTGTTTGTTGTTTCCGAAGCAACGGAGCACCGTTGACAAATAGGAGAGATGTCAATAGAAGAATGATAATAAACAACATGTCGCGGATTTGCTCGGTGGAGTGCTAAATATCTCAGATGTCAGAGCAGCCACTTGTCGAGCAAAAGATCTAGGTTCAATTTCTTGTCAGTCCGCATATACGATACTAGGGAGAAACCTCTGACGATACTATAAAGACTTCTACTTTGACTATTTTCATCTATATTTGTTAACGACGCTCGACCATTACTAATACGCAATTCATATGAGGAATTTTTTCCGGAATTGCGCATAAACTGGCAACCTTTATTTACCTTTATTTACTTGTTGCGTAATTCTTCACGCTTAACTCTGCACAGGATTATAATACGACAAACTATATTTTTGGGATCTTTATAAATTCCTTCTCAAGTAACACAAATTTTTTAATGTGCGTTAAATCAGCTAATTAGATGAAATTAAAAACAAACAATAATCTTTGTTCATTTCCGAGAAATAGAATTGATACACTATTATATTAGAATTTTGTGATCGATGATTTATCTTACAATCACTCGCTCATTTTGTTACGGAATAATTAGCAATTGAGTGAATTACAAAATCGATGCGTATACGATGCTCGAGTTCGTGAAGCTAACGCTAGATTATGCGCAATTCGTAATAGATTCACAAAGATTCGTCGTTTCTTAGAAACTGTAGCACTAGATTATGCGTAATTCGTAGTAGATTCGCAGAAATTTATCGTTCAACAGTAGATATAAATAAATTCTTCATATTTATCTACGATTCGTTTGTGTAGCTCTACTGTATGTATGAATAAAATTGACTGATTTATGGTGATTCACGCTCTTTGATTTCGTAAAAAAATCGTTCCGCTAACAAATTGGTATGAATGGTAAACGAATGTGAACCCGATGAATTTTCTCATTTATGTACAACATTCACGAATCTCATATGAATAGTGAATTGCAAATCGTGAACCACGAATCTAGCGCAAGACTAAGTGCATTTTCTCGCTACATCATTTTTTATCAAAATATTCTCCAAAATAACATCTAGTTGCACAGTTTCTACTCTGTTTTTGCTTCGAATAAGTTTTATTAACTTCAGCGTAGACACGTGAACAATTAAAACTAAAAAATTCAATTAAAAAACTGTACAGTCTGGTATCGTAAATTTAATAAATTATTTTATGCCATACACATAATATAAACCTATAGTTGTATTTTTTGTGGATATTAACCCTAGGTATACATTATACTTATTTATCGCATACCTAGATACTATACTGGATTCTGAAGAACCCCTGCTACTTTGAAAAATTGTAATTACCCGTAAATAATAGTGTTTCAAACTTTACCTGGGATCTCGAAGACCCCAGAATGTATACCTAAGGTTACTCCGGTTCTACATTGGTCGTATCGTAGCATAATTCGTAAGAAATTGACTAATTACAGTCAGATTTGAGGAGAATAATCGGCTGTGATTGGTCAATTTCTTACGAATTATGCTACGATACGACCAATGTAAAACCGGTCTTAGAAGAAAACGGCTGGAAAAAACCCACAGTCTTCCGATCGACGTTCGTCCATTTCTTTTTCTCTGGAAGTGGGAAACGAAAAACGATTGGTTGTGTACAGCCATTTTGAAACTTGACCTGGGATTTCCAAACCCCCATGTTAGAAAACACATTAGATCTTGCTATGCTGAAATCGTTTGACCTGAGAAGAAATAAAGAAGTTGCAAAATCACGGAGAGTAGAGACTGGGAAATTGGTGTGTTTTCGGTATTCATCATCTTTCATTCACCTTGAATTTTTCGTAATATTTCATAGTATTCAACAATTCTATTACAAGAAAGATTACATTTGTTGCCGGACAGTTATGTTCTTTATTAGATTGACTCCGTCTCTTCCTGTTGTTGCTTCGGAAATAATACGTATTTATTCGTTGTATAAAAAAAAATTGGAGTAAAATTGTATCAATATTACCGTTCTAGATTTTTGACGCAACACTATCATAGTACAAATAATTATTGTATTTTTCAGGTATGTCTAACAAGGTAGAAATCTTCAAAGTAAATGGGGACAAAATGTATAAATGCCAAAAGTGTGGCGAAATGTCAAAACGACGTTTTAACGTAGAACGCCATTACAGACGATTCCACGAAAAAATTAAGCCACAAAAAACATGTTGCGGTAAATATATTTTAATCAGTCATGTAATTTAATCTTATTATGGGCCGGTCGTTCCAACTTGTTGATAAACTAACTGATAGTTAAATTATACATATGTTTTTGTCTTTCCTTCAAATTAGACAAAGATAGACATATGATTTAACTATTAGGTAGTTTACCAATAGATTGGAACAACCGGCCCTATAACGTATAATAAAATATTCAGTTTATAAAATAATTAGAAGTAGTATATCTTTCCCTGATTGCAAATAGAGATCAAACTAAAAATGCTGATCCAAGTATTTGAGATTTATTTCAGATTATAATGTATCTAAATTTTAACTAGAAAATGCTGTGAATAAAATAACGTAATACATTGTTTTGCATGAAATTATTATATGTTTCATTAAAAATAATAAATACTTTTATACATATTCAATTATAATCAATGAAACCAAGTTAGATTCCATATTTTTTTCATGTGTATACGTAGAAGATATTCACACTCACATACAGTGTTAAGATATAATTATATATTTTTTTTACCTTTACAATATGTTAACATTTTTAAACATTTTTTTAAACGTATTGTTATATTGACGTGTAATATGATATTATATGACAAAATTATTTTTTTAGACAAAATATTTTATACCAAAAGTGATTTTTACAATCACAGACACAAAATACACGAGGAAAAGAAAAAGTATACAAAAGAATACAAAAGTATACAAAATCAACGAACGTCCAAGTTCCAATGTCCGGCTGTTCCCAAAGTTGAACAGCCAAACACAAAAGAAATTTTGGTAGAAATTCAAAATAAGACTGACATTTCGCGATCGCCAATTGAAAAATTAAACGCACCAAAGAAAGGTTTTTTAAGTAGATGGCAAAAGGATTCCTATAAGTGTAAAAATAGGAGATCAGCGACTAAACGCCCATCGCGACGTAGAGTTCCAACACATCCGCTGAGTGTGACAAAAGAAAATATAAAAATATATAATGTTACAGAAGAGTCGAAGGAAGGCATAGATAGAGCGTTATACTCCATTAAATTTTAAGTTTTTTTTTTTAAGTTTTATATCGAGCAAAATTTGTTTTACAAATATTTGTTTTAAAAAAAATATGAAAACAAGTGTAAAAGCTGACAATTCGATATATTACATGTAATTTAGGAATAAAACTGTATATATGACATTTATTGACAAAACTGATATATTGCTACTTCGGTTATTTAAGGAGTTTAATTTTTATTTTATTTAAAATTTACAATATTTTTGATAGCATTTTGTTTTTAAAATATTATATTTTAAAATATATGTCACATGTTTGTTAAATAATAAGACTATAAAGTAGTAATTAATCTTTTATATTAAAAAAATAACGTTATATACATTGCCAACATATTTAACAGACCGTTAATAATACGTTTCAAAGCAGATAATCTCTTACTTAGTTTTATTCGCGCTCAAAGTGTGTCGTTGCTTTTAGCTATAATAGTAAAAATTCCTTTGACGTGAATGGACAGTATGGATTTATTTTAGGTTCATATAGTATCGTCAGAAAGTTCTCTTATCATCGAATGCGAAGGACTATAACCGAAGTAATTGCAATAAATCGGAATAAAGGATAATTCTCAAAAAAAAAGACTGCTGAAGTTTTAACTAGGGCTCTCTAGAAATGTCAAATTAGTGACGAGATCTCAAATTTTTTATTAATTATTTTAGAGTTTTTAGTAGGTTTTTAAGTATAATACTGATTACTTTTATTGGTTATCTAAGATTATTAAGGATCGCAAAAATAGTCAAATAATTTTTTCTTTAAACTTAATACTTGTAATTTTTCATTTATTTTACACGTGCATGCATACATACAGAAACTAGAAGGCAAAATTAAGTTGTTCAACAACTTCAAGTTTCTGTTAACAAGATGAAATGATTTTTTATTTCTTTGGAATAATTCTTAGACATAATACCTAAAGGTTGTCGGCTACTGCTTTACGGATTTAACAAATCTACAACTCGAGATTACGATATTTGAAATATCAATAATCCGTTATAATAGGAAATGTACAAATATTTTAATATGCGACAATATGTATCTGTTAATATCTATTACATTATGTACTAGAAGAATTCAGATTAAAATCTTGTAAATTATTAGAACTTAGTAAATCTTTATCCCGCCTGTATAATTTTTATTAGAAAACGTGAATTACGATCTGTCACGAACAAATGTCATTTTTATACTCTCTTCCTTAATTTTCAAATCAAATTTATATTGCAAACATGATTACTGTGCTAATAGCTTTCCTTTTAGGCGACATTTCTTATATATAGACAAAATACATTTACAAAAGTAATTTGCGAAAATGTAATTCACGTCCATTCATCTTCCATAATTACGTATCTGTTAGAAAACGAGACGATAAAAAAAAGGAAAATTAACAGTACGTAAATATTTACGAATCGACAATTCTGTTCTGACTGCCGTGTCTTTTTTGCCCATGAATTTTTCCTTTTATTGAATTTTTCTTCCCGTTCATTAGCTCAAACTCCTCATCAAGTTCGCATCTATTTAAAAATTTAGTGCTATTTATGTGCTAATTTGTTGCTCAAACCGTTTATCAGAAAATCGTATTTAAAAAGAAGGGGAAGATAGCATCTCAATATCAAGTTTTTTGCGTTAAATGTTTTTTATTCTAACATTTTTTGTTTTATGTTTATTTCATGTTTTATTTATTTTCTTGAATTAAGTCTTTTACTGTATTGAACTCCATTATCGGTTTATTCACATCTTCAAGAATTTCTTATAAAAGCATATCCCGAAATATCAATCAATCAGTAACAATTAGATATAATGAGTCAGAAACAATAAGTAGCTGAGCAAAAATCGATTTATTTTAACTCGATATTCTGATTTAATTTCACTTGTAACCTTAAATTAACTAATAAATAGTATTGTGAAGAAATCAAGGTACATAAATTAAATTGTCCCGGCGTTATAATTAAGTTCCAACTTTTCAAACAAACATTTAAAAAATTTATTATATCGAACGTACAGTAATAATATTGATACAATTATGACACAGAGATTTTAGAGAAGTTTAAATTACATTATACTTTCTCTAACGCGTAACATGTAAGAAGAAGTTAGTGGAGTACAGAAAATATTTAGATAATTCTATACATTTTATTATATGTACCTTCACATCCCTATAACTGAGGAACTCTACATCCCGATGATACGATTTTTTTATCTTATTGTCAGAAAGGGGGGGAGCGATGCAGAAAGCATATTGTTGCATCATTTCATTTCTTCGTGCAAGGGGTTGATCACCTGTCACGATTGAGCATAAAGGGTAACGCGCTTATGAATCGTTAAAGGCGAACGTGCTGGCTACGTGGACGAAAAGCGTTTTACAATTGTCGCGCGTGATTGCATACACCGATGCATGTATATACGATATGTGCTATCGCTACATGGATTTGTCCATGTGTACGTTATCTGAGACCCGAACACTTCGAATAACGACGTGCTAGTTCTAGTTCCAAACGATCGAGCAATCGTGTTTCGTTAACGGCATGACCAATTACTCCGCCTCATCAAAGTCTCTTAAAATAAAATGAGTTTTGTATAAACATAAATATTATATAAATTATATATGTATTTTTTATTAGCTGTGATTAAAAGTCATTACCTTGGATATAACTTTGCAATAATTTCTTACATACATTAATCGCTCTTGAGCATAGCGTTAGTAACATTAACAAGTTCACAAGATAAAGCATAAAATGTGCTGCAATAGTATATGTTTATCGAAATATAAAATACGAAGAACAAAGTATTCAGCATATAATTAAGTCGTAGTACATTGTATGTACATATTGTTATAATATAAAATATTGCGTATAGAAGCAAAATTGATTGGCATTCGACCTTTCAATACTTATGATACGCGAAGCCGCCACGCACCGTGTTTTCATTCACGTGGCGAGACGAGTGGCTAACGACACGAACTGTTCCAATATTGTCGCATTATGTACTATTCGAAACACGAGATACTCGGAAAATTTCAAACGCAATAATTATCTTAAGTAGTATAGTGTGCGTGATTAATCACGATTTTCCACGATTCATTTGCGTATTGACAGTGATTATTCATCGAAATGAATATTTTTTGTTTTATTTGTTTAAATTAAAATGATATAGAGTATAAAAATCACAAATTATTAGTGTGATATTTACAGATAACAATTATTAAAATTATTTTGGATATATCTGAATAATATATCGCTAGAAACTAGAAAACAGAAACTAGAAAAGATGAAGGAGTACGGAGAGGAAAGACCAGAGAGAAAAGGTCTGTCTTATTGAAAGCAACGCCTTTCGACAGAAGACCATAACGTTTTCTTCAAATCAATCGGTTTCAGATGGTTTTGCAGGAGGTCAAAATAGCTTCCGCTGGTCACAATTTGATTCCTGGACTAGGACATTCATAAAAATGCATTGAACTCAGACAGGATTACAATGAGTAAATGACACGTAATTTTTTATTTCTTGTATATGTAAATGCATCATTTTTGCCGTTTTGATTTGATTCTACTGTGCATCTCACTTACACTTGTTGATATGAAATTTATGTAATGATCACAAACATAGTCTAAAGTCGAAATTGCATGGACGCAATGAACATTATACATATAAAGTGCAATTGAAATAATTAAGGGACAATTTTCTTATTGTTTAACGATAACGCGTGTTTATTGCATGTTATTTTCTGTCGGAAATTTAGGGCTTTGAAGAATTTATTTTATCTTATAGGAATACATGCAGAAATCCATAATCCTTTAATATTCTTACCTGCTGCCAATAAGAGAGAAATAACTATGTAATCAATAATGCAATGCACAAGATGTTTCACTCAATATTTTTAAATCTGTTTTTAGTTAATTAAAAATCAATGTTTTTGCGATAACGTTAAGACATTAATAATTTTTTAATTATAGAAAATTATTATATAAAATAAATTAATTTATAAAATAAAATGTAAAAATGAAAGATTTTTCACGAATTCTTCACGAATTACATACAAACGGATAATAAAATTATATTCAATTAATTTTACAGATGAAATTTATTTTAATAACATTTTTGCTAGAAACTTTTAATTATTTACTTCGAGATTGGAGAAATTTGATTAAAAGATATGATATTAAAAATTAGAAAGGTACTATAAATGATGATCTTTTTGACAGTTTTTACTAATATGAATAATTAATCATATGATGAATATCTTCACTAAAAAATTGATTCCAGTTACTTGGCCAAGAAATTAGCTGTTAAAAAGTAATGTGACGTAGAAATAGAATATTCTACATAAAATTGTATCACACTTGAGAAATAATTTTACTTTGCATATCACACATCACATTTATAACATTAAAATCTTATTTATGATATGGACAAGACAAAGATGATTAAAAAAAAAAAAAAAAGAATATTTTATTTGCACTTTATTTTCTCATGACATACTTGACATAGCTATTAATATTCGCGATCGATTAAGAATACTCGAAATACTACATTATTTAGGACGGATCGATACAATTTAACATCTATTGTGCGCGATAAGAATTTTCTCAATTAATCGCCGCGTTTAATATATTTAGCATCGATCTGATGTCGCATCATCAAATCATCATCGATTGCTGTGACGATATTCCCCACGTTGACGATGTTGCACACGATACTGAGCTCGGACGTGCATTTTCGCGTACGCGTTAATGCTTGTGCATAATTTCCAGTGTATAAATTCGAGTCAAATGGCGGTGGTCTGGGGCGCCGGTGGTGGTGTCAACGGCGTCCAAGCGTTCGGCTGCTCGCCGGCGATCTCCGTGTCCTGTCGATGATGATCATGATGATGATGTGGATGATGATGATGAGGGTGGCGATCGACAACCGTGGTCAGGTATCGTCTTTCGTCATCCTGCTGCTGCACCTCGTTCAAAGCGTCTGCGGTTTGCTCAGGATAACCCATCTGGATGTGGGGATGCTCCTTAGGCGGACTGTCATACTCTACGCTGACCGGCGAAGACGTTTCTGTCTGCGGCAATGCCTGCAGATGCAACATCTGCGCTTGGGAATGATGCTGCTGCTGCTGATGATGATGACGATGCTGATCGGGGGTGGTCGATTGCACCGGCGAGGCGTGATGATACTCGTGAACGTATTCGTTCGCGTCCGCTGGAGGAACGGGTTCTCCACTTTGTGGATGCAAGCCCGCGTGGTGTAAGCCTGCGTGCGAAACGGAACCGTACGGGGACATCTGGTGATGCAGATGAAGATTCAAGTTCAAGTAGGATTGCTGTTGCTGTTGCTGCTGTTGTTGTTGCTGCTGTTGCTGTTCCAGCGTGCTGGAATGTATCCAAGACGAGTCAGTACAGTGTCCGCCGTGTTGCTCCTGAGACGATAAATTCGACGGCACGTACAGAGTGCAGCCGGTCACGGTGGCCGTGGTGGAGACAGTACCGACCACGGCTCTGCCGAGGACCGTGTGCGACGTTGGCGACGGCGACGGCGACGTCGGCCACTCCTGCGACGCGGCGGGCGGCAAGCACGCGGAATTGAGATTCTGCAGCGATTCCGGACTCCGCGGCGACCAGGCCGGAGCCGCTACGTAAGCCGTGGAATGCAAGAGCGGCATCGGCGCGTACGCGTCCGCGTGCTGTTCTGTATATAGAAAAAATAATTAAGCTTTTTTCCACGAAATTATTTTTGTTTACTATTAAAATATAAAAGATATATATATATATATATTTTTTTTTACAGTGTCTACATATCGCTATTTATCCAACGACCGCAATATAAAAAAATAACGATACGATAACGACACTTCTGCCTCGTGCAGCGGATTTTACATATAGATTTGTGACACTATTACAGCACGTAGGTAACATTTTAGTCGTACTTTTTATGAGCTTAACTTAAATTCGAAAATTTTTTAGTTGTGACAATATTCTTTTAAATGTGTATATTGACATTATATTAACACAATGCATGTTTGACAAAGTTAATGTCGACAAATATTTAATTAAGATTTTAATTAAAAGACAATAAAAAATTTTTACCTACCATCTTGGACGTACTTGTGTCTCAAAGTATAAGGCGCTGCTCTGCAGGTGCTTCTGTGCCCAGATGTGGTGACGGTGCACGAATTAGAGAAGTGATTGCTAACACAAGCCGATACTTGGTTTTGCGCGACGGCTATCGCCGACGCTGCGTTGTATTCGTATCCCATTGTAGGTTGTGGTAGAAACAACGCGCCTGCATCTGTAAAATGTTATTCATATTAGGAACAATCCCGGTTTCAATTTTTAATTCATCTTCAATAATCTTCTCGTTCATATGTTTACTTTACATTATTGATTGCGTCAACTCACATTGCGGATAAGTCTGTGAATCGGCGGGCCTCTCCTTGGCATCGAGAAACGCCTTCGCGAATGGGTTATATTTGATTTTCAGACTCGTAACTTCCTCGTTTTGATACGCCGTCACCGCGATGAATTGTGTTTCGGGGAAACGATAGGTGAGAACCTACATTAACGACAGGATAATTATGATGATAAAATAAAATAACTGAGAACTATCGAAATAGAAGAAATGAGAGATAAAAAGAAAACATACCGTTCTCTGTTCTTCGGCACCCACTCGGACTAAATGAACACGTGGCTCGTACTTGTGCAACGAATTCAGCATGATCTGCCCATTACCGTTTGACTTATTCGTTAGTTTGACCTTAGCGAATGATACTGCCTCTTTCATCCAATGGGCTCCGAAATTTGGGCTTTCCGGATGTATGTAAATCGGATTAGGCGGAGCCACTTCCGCCTTCCCACCTGGCACCCATTCACCGTTGACGTATTTCCACCTAATATTAATTCAATCAAAGAACAAATTTTATATCTCAATTAAGACAAATGATTTATGTAAACATAATATGTATGTATTAGAGGTACTCATTTCTTCCCCAATAAAAGACTTAGATTACTTCTATTCTTCTTGCGGAAAAAGCGAACGAAGATAAAATAACAACGATTCGACCTCGGTGAAACGCATTACTCCCTCGTCTTCGCCAATCTTCGGTTGGCAGCAGTCGGGAGTAGAAACGAGAAAAATTGTATAAGATGATTCGATGAAGAGAATTTACATTATTTGTAGGATCAACAGGAAAATCGTATTTCGTCGTTCTTTTTCGATCTTCCGAGATTGTTTTGCGAAAGCTATTATGAGGCTCTGGAATGCTTCTCGGTTCGTTCAACACCGATGACGAATCGCTGGCGAGTTAAAAATAACGTACTAACAAGTTTAGAATCGACTTTAGCGACGTTACGTGATGCTTGAACGAAAGGGGTACGGTAATTACGACCTGTTAGTGTCCTTCGCGCCCCCCGTTCCTTCTGTTCGCGAGATAAATCAATGCAAATCGGTAACGCGCTCATCCGTGTTTACTGCCTACGTAATATTTCGATGCTATGCGCTTTCTACTCTGCTCAGCATAACTTTGCAATTTGCACAATTTCCGGTTGCTATTAAAAAATGGTTCAACCCTTTACTCGACAAATGCCGGGTCAAGATTTAAATTTTGAAATTGATGACAAATGCAGTATGAAATAAATATTTAAATACATTTGCAACGCTCATGTGATATCTGAAACAAATTCTTTACGTGTGCATTGTTCATACAAAATCAAAACAAATATTACGTATATCTCTCTTATAAGTAGATTTTTTACGACTTCAGTTAGTCTACAATTTTAACGCTATTTTTTTTTAAAGAAAAACATTAAAAAGTGGTGAAATAAAAATACAATACGTAAAAGTATCTACTCTGGGATAAAAGATGAGTCTGTGTGTACGACCACCTCATTTTGCTACCCATTGCACCACCCATTGTGTCATTCACCGTACCACTTCTTGTCATTCAAAAGTTAAACTTTTTCAGTTTAAATTAAATTATAACTCGAAGTGGAATTTTTAAGAAATTCTTTTTTAGAAACTCTTGATTCTACTTCCTGAGAAATCTCGACCCTTCATACATATCTACTTAAAAAGAAAACTTAAAATTAGTGAAAAATTAACGTGGAAGATAGTTATTGCTTTGGAGAGAGTTAAGGATCGAGTTAAGGATACATTTGCCGAATTGCGTATAAAACTGCATATTACCTGTGCGGATCGACTTGCACGAATTCCAGTAGCAGAGTATACATAGCTGCTGGTTCCAAACCACGTGCAACGACCTTCACCACGGGAAACATCCTCCTACGGACGAAAGTGACATGTCAGAAACGCGCAAGACACCGATCGTAAAGCCCCGGGATCTGCGCGCGAGAGATCGATGCCGACGATGGGATCCACGGTGTGGATCAAAAGATAACCGCCGCGCCGCGAACGTGGACAGTGTCTCCTCGGCGCGACTATACATTTACGAGCCGTGTATTAATAAAAACGATTACGGGGGAGGGGGGGTTGTCGACTGCGGGTGTGCAGGTAAAGTGCTTGCTCGTAGGCATCAGCTCGACAGGAGAACGTTTTACAAGAGGATTGTAAGCATCGTAAAATTTTATTGCCGACGGCTGAATCTTCTCACAATAATCCCGGGGAACTCCGTCTTTCCACGGATCGAGCCTTTATCATTCACTATGGCATCCTAAGTGTACGTCTTGCTCGATATTATCTATTTCTTTACGACAAATAAGATCAGGATGGGAAACTTTGTCTTTTCGCGGATCGGTCTTTGTCATTCACTTGGGATCCTAAGTGTACGTCTTGCTCAATATTCTCTATTTCCTTACGGTAAACAAGGGTGCATAAACATGATACGCTTTTCCTAAAAAAGTTTCCGACCATCAGATAATTTCCGGCCGGGCGTCTATATCTCATCGACTATCATCTTAAGATTATGATCGTCGAATTTTCGGCCCCAAAAGGAGCCAAAAAGTCAACAGGAGCATAGTCTAAAAAAAGGGAGGAAAAACGAAAACACTGGTCAAGATATGTTACTTATTATTTATGCGCTGCACATGCCGTACACTTTGTTAGTAACATATCGATTTACTGTCAAAAAGTATATGAACAGAAGCTTTCAACGGAGAGAACTATTTTGTAAAATAAAATGGCAAAAAATATGTGTAGCTAGATTGAAATAGCTAGTTTCTTTCACTTTAGCTTACGGTAATGTTTTCTTGCTATGAAATGGAATGAGAGGAAGGTATTAAAAGACGCTATTTTTTAAATCTTAAATTGTCAGTTTCCGATTTTGCTCGCTTAAAATTTTAGCTAATGATATTTTTGTTTCCAGTAAGCAAATACTTCTATCGGATATCGGACGTCTATCGTGAGTAGAAAGATTGCGATAGTTCATTCTTATGAGTTTCAGAGTAAACGAAAATCGTGAGATTGTTTTCTCGCGGCATTCTCATTTCGAATGTTCGTCGCTTATATACTGTATGAATAATAACTATAAAGAAGTTCAATAATATCAGAAACTAATCCTTCTTTCGAGATAAAATATTTTTTATTAATCTTCCAATTAATTCGTACACATGTACCTTCCATTTTTCGTGACGATCATCTCGTTCGTGATGCACTGAAATCTAGTCCAGAGCTCCCGGTCTTCCAGCGACAAAGACAGCGGCAATCCTTGACTCCCCGAAATCGCGGCAGGAGGCCCGAGACTCTGTCTCGCGATCGAACCCCGCTCTTCGCGATCCTCTCGATCCTCCACAGGACTCGTTCGACTCTGCCTTCCGCCACGCTCTCGCTCGCGATCTCGCTCCTGTTCGCGTTCCCTTTCACGCTCCCGATCGCGCTCATGGTACGAGGAACGCGTTGGAGAACCCGGCGTTCGCGGCGCGCCCGCCGGTTGCATCTTCAGCGTTCTCCAATACGTCACCTATACCTCAATCCTTTCACCCTCTCCAATATATTGGATTCCTCAAATTGGAAATTCAACCGATATTTTGACCCTCGAAGATAATAATATAAACTGTATATGAGAAAAAAGCCAGAAAACACATGCGATGCAGTAAATTTTCCAGGCAGACTCTCACGACGGGGGAGGGAGATGAAAATCTGGATTGCTTTCGCCGTTGATCGATTCGGGGATCCCGAATTCGCGATGTTCCGCGAGAAAATCGGATGCGATCTCGCAGTGGGCAGCGGAGGGGGACGGAAAAGCGTCGTTCGTCGCGGCACCAGACGTCTCCGTCGGCGGCGGAGGATAGGTCGCGTCGCGAGAATCCGCGCCGCGTGGCCGTAGACTCGTAACACTTGGGCGCGATATTTCACACTAGCCGGCGAAGACTCGCCGAAGACTGACCGGTGGTATATCTGCCTCTCTGTTCTCACTTCACGTCCTCTCTTTCTCCGTTCCTCGATGGGTACGCGGCCGTCGAGAGAGGCACCGGCCCGAGTCGCGTTCGCGCTTGCCGGGTGCTAATTACTCGCTAAATTAGGAGCTCACGGGTGCAGCATGGCGGTACCACTGAGGTGTCCATTGGTTGAGGACGATTTGACCGGTCGCCCCGTCGCCACGACAGCGGGTGCCGCCTTCGGTGTCTTGCCTCCACCAATGGACGAGTGACTCGTCTTTACAAATCCACCACGGTTGGTGGGTTCGACAACAAACACGTCGTTCGGCAGTCCGCCCACGTCGCCGGTCGCCAGGTTCTCGATTAGTCCTTGCGGACAACGTACGCGGATCCGCACGTGGTGGACCGAATCGTCGCCGTAATCGTCCCTTTGATTTAATCATCAATCGGTCGCGAATTTGTCTCGATCGAAAATATAAGCGTCGCACGGCCGATGGAAAAGAAATCGTCTTTCCAAGGCCGCAAGAAAGTGTTCCTTTTCGTGGACCGGATTCGCGCGGCCGCGACCGAAGTCGCGGCAACGAGACATGTCACCTTTACGAGTTAATATTTGCGTCTGTTGCGCTCAGGAAAGTATGCGGCGCGTATTTGTTCCTCGTGAGAGATAAGTGTTGCTCTCGTTGACAAGGTATAACGGGCCTCGGCGTATACGTCAAAAAAAAACTCGAGAAATCGTTGCTCTGTCAGTTACTCTAATTTCTATTTAAATATTCATTTTTAATACGAGTGCTAAAAAGAAAAAAAACACGAGTGTGGGACTTTCGATAATAATACATATGACGATTGTTGCGCGAAAAATTAAACGCTCCAAAAAAAAAAAGGTTTTTTGAATATGTTGCAAAAGGATTTCTGTGAAAATAGAACAGCGATCAAACGGCCATCGATTTCAACAAATTCGCTGAGTGTGATGAAAGAAAATACATAATATTACAACAAATTGAAAGAAGGCATAGATAAAGCGTTATACTTTATTAAATTTTAAATATTTTTTAAATAGGTGGCATGCATGCGCTTGAATTCATAAAGCTTGCGCCAGATTATGCACAATTCCGGAAAGAATTTCTCACTTGATTTACATATTACTAATGGTCAAGCGTCATTACCAAGATGAAAATAGTCAAAATAGAAGTCTTTAGTATCGTATATGCGAGATGAGAAGATCTAGGAATCGAACAAGTGGCTGCTCTAACATTGAGTTATTTAACACCCCAGTTAGCATTAATTTCCATTAATCTATTAGCAAAAGTGAGATAGAATCAGCATACTTTTTCACTATATACTTATATTGTCGATGAGCAATTTAGTTAAAAAATGAAAAGTGATTATACTCCGTATCTGATTTTGCACTAGCTCTATCTTCTCCTACATTATAACTCTTTCTTGGAAATACAGCAAGGCGCCAAAGATTTTGCGAAAATGTCAATAATTTACTTAAAGCCTCGCGTTGCATCGCTTCTCGGCCTCAGAAAGAAGGGCCGCCCATGAAATTGACGTCTTGCAGTAATTTCGATATTTGTCGATTATGAAAATGGAGTTCCTCGTCTATCACGAGCGAAACGATTGGGAGGATGGGAATGTGTTGGTCGTCTAGAGTCAAATGAGAAAAATCAACAGAGCACCGTTCAACCGATCGCACGACGCATCGCGAGTAGATATTTGAGCAGGACCGTTCTGTTGTTTGCCATCGCGCACAGTTTCGGACAGCAATTGCCGGACGCGAAGACGGCCGTAACCCTATCGGTTATTTGTGCTAGCAATTTCGTGCGGAGAGCATATACTCGTGATCGTCTTGGTGCCGCAACATCACTGGAGGCCGAGTGCGGAGCCATCTTTATTGGCGGCCCGAGGTTGTTGAAGGTAATTACAATTTTCAACCTGACTGCATCCGCGATTATTTGCCAGAAATGCCGTCGGTCCCGCAGCCGCAAACTGCGCGGTGACATTAATCGCGCGAGACCATACTTTCTTTCCGAAAGTATGGAGTCGAAAACAAAAGTGTCGTATTTATGGAATAAAAAAGTCAAAGGACCACCTATCTAATCTTAAAAAGACAAGAACTTTTTAGACCATATAACTTTATGGATGTGTTGAACATGAACTACATATAAAGAAACTGTACGTAGCGATATAGGAGAAAAGGGGTAGTAACTTTTTCGAATCTAAAGCTGACAACTTTGTGAAAGGAGGTACGAGTTTTAATTGTAAAAATTGTGACACACCTTTCACTAAAACTTTTAAAACTTTTACTGTTCTTTCCGTCATACTATATTTTTATTATGTTTTTTTTTTTTGTTACAAAGATGTTTTCTTTTTACCTGTTGATCGTAATCTTCAATGTAACACATACTGGTGTAGAGTTAGGACATTCATCTTGTAGGTTTCTTTCGGCTGGCATACGACTTGGAAATTAAGAGGTTTTGATGGTAGGCCGTCCTGTCCGCTGCACGGTGGCGTATCATAAAAATTTTTACCTCGAACGACTTCTACGCAACCTGCACAACACTGCAGAGGCGTTTACGATAGGGGTATTCTCGATTATTGCTACCTGCCGCTAGGTAGCCTTTAGACATGAGTCGGGAGGTCTTCGGCATTCGTTTATACCGTTTGAAAAATACCGCCATAGTTACGACCGCTTTGATAAACCGTATACTAAACTCAGCTTTTTCAGCGTTCATCTATTTACAAACTATATCATTCATCGAACATTTCTAGCAGGTTGTGCACTTCGAACGCCAAAAGCGGCGACGTTTACCGGGCAAAAATATCATCACCTTCAAAGGTCTCTCAATTTATGCAGACGTTTTCTCGAGCATTTTATCAATCAAACTGTTGGCCAAGAATAAATCTCATAATAGGAAAATGCACGCAGAATTTTTAGACATTTCGAGTTATTCGATCATTACTTACGATATATTGCGAGTCGATTTCTGCAGAATACTGTAGGTAAATTTGTATAATAAAGAAAAGGTAAAGGAAAAAGCTTAAGAAAGATGAGAAATATATAATTTCTAGGAATTACACATATTGCATAAATCATCGTGACAACTT